AGCCCCTAGAGAAAAGCCACCTTTAACACAGTTAGGTGTGTAACATTAATATGTTAATGGTTTTAAATCTGTCAGAAAGTGTGTGCAAGTGCGTGAGTGGTTGAATCGTTTTGCAGTGGATGTGTGTTTTTTGCAAGAACATAACCATAAGGTAGGAAGTTTGAGATGGATGGTTATGACATTTATGTGACTCACTCCAGACGTCTGAAAGGTGGAGTGGCTGTGTTGATAAAAGCGACCAGCCCGTTTGTGTTGAGACATTGGGAGGAAGGGGGGGAGGGTCGCGTGGTGCGAGTCGTGGGGGATTGGGGTAGTAGAAGGGTTGGTTTTGTAGGGGTATATGGGTCGGCTGAACATGATGTTAATATTAAAAATACTTTTGTTAGAGATGTCTTAGTATATTATTTGAGGTCCCTGCCGGAAATTACAGTGGTCGGTGGTGATTGGAACTGTGTGGTACACCGTAAAGACGGGTTTCTGTTCGCTTGTTTTGGGTGACTTGTTGTCTGGGTTGGGGTTGGTAGATGTACGCGGAGGACGTGACTTGGGGATTGAGCATACTTTTGTGCGTAGGGGCTATTCGGCATGTTTAGATAGGGTGTATGTGTCTCGGTGGTCGTAATCAATGTGCGTGTAGAGTTCGACTGGGAGGGGGGGGGTCTCCCGCATCGTTTTAAGGGATACTGATAGGGAACTATTCGCGTACTTCTGGGCGTCTATGGAAGTAGACTCCTGGGAGGGGTGGGATTTAGTACGACGGTGGGATGAGGTTGTTAAGCCTCGAATTAAGAATTTTTATGTGCATCGGGGTAAGGAGGCCACTCGCTTGGAGTATGGTTTTCTTAGGTACCTGGAGGGTCATCTACGACAATGTTATACGCAGGGAGAGGCATCTGAGGTTTACCCATTGGATGAGATCGACGCTCTTAAAGAACAAATCCAGGTATTGAAAAATAAGGTTTTCGATGGGGTGCGCATTTCGAGTGGGGTGGAGGAGGCTTTGTGGGGTGACAAGCCGTCTGCTTGTGTCTTACGAAGTCAGACACAAAGGCGAAAAGCGACTGAAATTGAGTTTAGTGGTGCAGGATGAAGTTGTGAGGGACAGATCTTAACAACAACTGAGGGGATAAGTTTTTATGTCGATACTTGGTGGGAGGCACTACAAGGAATGAGTAAGGGGAAGGGCATCCCTTGTGAATTTTATATCAAACATTGGGAGGTAATACGGACTTTTATGGTTCGTTTACTCAATGCGATGAAGGAGGGGGGGGGTGTTAGGTCTGTCTCAGCGTACGGCAGTGTTGGTCTTAGGAAATGTGATGTGCCGTTAGCGATTAAGGACTACCGTCCTATATCGTTGATGTGTAGTGACTATAAACTATATGCGAAAATTTTGATGAATAGAATTAAGAAAGTGTTTGATAAAGTAATCCATAAGAGTCAGTTTGGTGTGCCAGGTAGGTCAATGTATGATGG